TTTCTTCTTGTGGACATCCAGGTCTAAATTGGGTCTTTTAATATCATGTTTCCTCACTTCAACTAAAATTATATCAGCTAAAATCATGTGGATTCAAGTTTACAAATAATAATCCTTTCATATTGTGAGTGTCTGCATTAAACCAAAGATCAGTTCAATTTTTGAGTTGATATTTCAATTCATACAAAAACAATAGGCAAAGTGAGATTTTGATAAAAATGTGATAAAAATTAAATTTGACTCTACCTTTCTTCTGTTTTTCTTTTTGTTTTTTAACTTTTGTCTTTTTAACAGGTTTGATAGGTGCTGACTCTACTACTGGGATCTCAACCAATTTCTCTTCACTTTTCTGTTTTTCAACTTCTTCTATTTTTGGACTTACTGGTTCCTTGACAATCTAAATAAAACAGAAAATGCTTGATCATCTAGTACTAGAGAGATAGATATTTTTTCCTTTTAGACATCGTGCACTATAATTCTTTATATATTTTTTTTTAATTGACACTAAATCCAATTACAAAAATTGACTTGTAACTACTGTACCTTAAATCGCTGTGATGGCATCTTAGGAATAATTTCTGGTTCCTCTTTCTTATCAAACCAACCATCTGGTAAAAATCTTGGATCATGTTCTGGTGCCTGAAATAAAATTTGTAATTATATACCTAATTGATAAAATAGTAAAGAGCTCAAAGGAATAATGAGAGATAAAATGATCTTGATATATATGACGCATGAAAGATGAAATCTATTCAGAAAAGGAAAGGGTTTAGGCCCCTTGCAATTGATTTACAACATAGGGTATAAGAACCAACTAAAAAGAAAATAGAAGCCTCTTGTCAACTTTAGGTCAAAAGTTTGGGAATAAAAGTTTCAGATTAAAATAATAAGGAATAAAAGAAGTTAAGGAAACAATTAAACATTTTATTTACCGATTTGAGTCGCCATGGTGATTTGGATGGAGGGGGTTCAACCATAAAGTTCAATTTTTTCCTTATAACAGAATTAGGTATGAATCCTGAAAACATATAACAGGTGAACAGGTGAAGTGTCTTTAACATTGAGTGTTAATTCTTTCAAAACAGCCACTACCATGGCAACATTGTTATAAGAATAATTAAGATGGCAAATATAAAAAGGAAACTTTTAGTGGAATTGCCTCTGTCAGTGTCAGTGTCAATTTCATTTTCTTTATTCAAATCAGTGAATCATTGAAGCTTTACACTGAATATTAGTTTCAATCTTGGTACTAGATTAGTTGCTTTCAAGGGATGTTACACAACAAATCACTAACCATCAGGTGCTATAATTGGATCCTTTTTTAATAATTCACGTTCCCATGGCATTAATTCCATTATGATGTCATCAAAGACATCAGCAAGTTCTTCTGGTGTTGCTGGTTTTCCTGGGAAAAATCAACATCAACAAATCATGAGAAATTTTTCATAAAAAAAATGAAAAGTGAGCACATCCTATAAAATATTAACACTGATCTGTATTAAATCTGGTAGAAAAATCCAAAAACAAAAAAATATCTTATCAATCGACATTATCTAAAAGCTGGTACTATGATAGCATCCTGATTATATATACAAAATTTAATACAGCAGTAAGTTTTTATAAAAACCTTACAGTTCCTATAAGAAAATTGGTTAGTTTAATTGTCAAGCTGCACCCAATTTGACTTAACATACATGTTTGCTTAGTTTATGGATATAAAAGTGTTCACCATCATAAGACTACATTAATAATGATTTATTTATTAAGTTGAGAAGTAATATTAATATAATAATAATGTAATATCAGTGATAATAAATACTATAATAATTATCAAGTTTGTTTAATCAGTGAATATGTAAATCAATAAAGGTAAGGACAGGAAATGATTTCATAGTTAAGTCTGAGAGAACTATGGGTGTTCTTTGATAAGGTAATGTGTCAATTTCAGTAATAAAAATAAACCACAAACTTAAAAGATTTAGATTATGATGGTAAATAGATCTCTCTCTCTCGGAACACCTGAAGCCACTCTGCAACTTGGATGATCCTCATTCCTTTCAGAGAGTTCAAAGAGCTTAAAGGGGCAGTTTGCAAGATGTTAATTATCAAAAACATTGTCAACTATACCTGAATATATTTCTAATTTATATATCAATGTATCCACTTAATCAAATTGAATTTGCTTTAAAAGGGTTTATTAAAAACGGAGAGAACTACTTGTTATTTAAGCACCTTTTAGTGATTTGCTTATTCGTTCAAACCTTCAGAGTAAGTAGGAGACATATTTCACTACAATTAGGCGTTTATGTAAACGTTTGAAATAGTTTTTGTTTAAAGAAATTTACGACTTGATTTTTTTAGTTTAAATTTTCAGATACCTTTCACATTTCTCTAAATTTTGGTGTATAGTTTTCATAAATTTTCAACAAAAAAAACCCAAGAATTCGTTAATTTGTTAATTTTATAGTTATTATTTTTATTATTTTTACCAATAGTTCAATCACAATATGTTAGAGGCAAACATCATTGAAAAAAAAAAACAAACCAAGATCATTTTAGTGACCTCAATAAATATACATACCTTTCTCCTGAGAATCTGTTTTATCAAATATTATTGTTTCTATTAATAGATCTTCTGCTGTCAAACGACCTCCAACCTCTTCAGCTATCAGTGGACTGTGGCGGTAACCAGGTGATAATTGTTTAAAGGATGAGGCTAAAACAAATTCATCTAATCATTATGGGTTACAGATTTAGATAGACTGAACTGATGCTCGGTATGGCATTCTTTTTTTACCTTATAAACTTGAGAGATGACTTGTAATAGTTGTAGTTTGCTCTGACACTGATCATTTATATACAAACTCATAAGATTAAGAGTTTCAGTTCTGTATCAATTATCAGACCACTTTTACAACTGAGCCTCAATATCACCTAAATATCACACGGTGAATTCACTTCTTGGTGGATAAGGTACAAAACTAATCATGAAGACATCAATATATCTTTAATATAAATGTGTAGACCTACCTTTGGTTGATGATAATTTCAATGATTGTCTTCGAATTCTTTCAACCTGAGCATCCTCAGCAATGGTAAGATTCAAAGCTCTTGCATAACCTAAAAATAGAAGCAATCATTAGATACCTATGCATATCTGGGGAAAATTGAAAATAAATGCATAGTATAAATCATAGAACAATGAGACATAGTTCACAATCACTCATACAAAATCTGACAAATTTACTAAATAAATTTAAGTTTAAGAATGATATATCTAATCTAAAATATGTGTCTGACAAAGAACAAAAACTCAAATGAAAACATTTTCAGGAAATGACTGCTTGTTCTCATCAGACATCTGAATCTGCTGATAATAATGCCATCTAGAGAATTGTCATCAGCAACAAATTTATAACATAAAGAAGAGTTACAATATTTAATTCAAAGTGAATTTGTTAATAAGTTCATAAAACAATGCATAAGGTTTTGTTATATTTCTAAAAAATAGCAATAGCCACGCTCTCAATTGCCAAGTTGTTCAGGAGGTTGACAAGAGCTATCAGTAAATTAAATATGAAGATCTTGGTATTTGTTTCATCCCCAAGTGATAACAAACATGCACACCAAATTTTATCATAATCCATCAAGAAACCAGCTCTCTATCATGTCCACAACAAATTTTCAAGAACAAGGGCAATAACTCATACAAAATATTTTTGTTTTGTTTGATTTTCAAAAGGTTCATCCTTGGTTGTTACAAACACACACACAAAATTTTGGTCAAAATCCATCAACCAGCTCCCTATTGTGTCGAAAGACAGGCAGACAGACAGACAGACAGACAGAGAAATGTATCCTCTTTTCTGGTCCAAAACAAATCCTTCACAATTGGTTCAATACAAAAGTCCATAAACATGAAAGTCGTTATACCTCAGTTGGTAATAGTTTAATCTGTAAGACTTGTATTTCTGACTGGCATTTTAATTTCCAATCTCCAGTCTGAATTACCTGATAGCAGCTAGAGAATAATCAATATACTGGTAATAGAATTCTAGCCATATCTCAGTTTGAAATATAACAAATTAACCCTGCTTCCTTTCCAATTATATACAATAGTAATTCACAATTTATTCATTTATATTTCTATATGGGCACTTTTATTTTACTAAATAAACCTTAGTTATTTGTTAACTGTAATGCCAAGCTCAAGTCTATATACCTTCTTTTATAATTTAAAATTCAAATCTCACTAATGTTTTCTCATTTGCATTTACAGTTCTGATGACTCAATTATGGAGTTACATAGAATTTTCAATAAAATACTCTTCAAAATTAAATATACTCTTTGAGATTAAGACTTGTTCTTATGTTTTTTTTTTGTTTCTCCCAATATATAGACAATCATTAATTCATTCCTTTATTTCTCCGATAGAATTATTATTTATTCATTCCTATAGTTTTCCTTCTTTAACCTCTTCGGACAATAATCATTTGATTTTAACAGTAATTCTAAATCAAAAGTAAGCCTACAGTGTTGGTGTAAAAGGTGTGAAATGTATTTGGTAACAATGGTAACAAGAAATAAATAATTAATTTAATCTGAATATAAAATTAGCTGGTAGCGTGTAAATTGTTTTAGGTTAATATAACTCTTTGATCTCTCAGTTTTGTATGTATCATATTCTTGGCAACTATAGTTTGTGCTATAGAGCAATATATCATCATTGCCTTGTCTAGATCAAATATGCCTCTCAAAAGGCAAAATAAAATTGTTTACAGTCAATCCAGCATGTATGTTAGTTTCCCATCAATAACCCCAGCATGTATCTAAATCTCCCAGTCTCCCATCATATATCCAAGTATCCCAGCATGTATCTAAGTCTCCCATTATATATCTAAATCTCCCATCATATATCTAAATCTTCCATCATATATCTAAATCTCCCATCATATATCTAAATCTTCCATCATATATCTAAATCTCCCATCATATATCTAAATATCCCATAATAATTAATATATCTAAATCTCCCATCATATATATAAGTCTTCCAGTATCCCAGCATGTATCTAAGTCTCCCAGCATATATCTAAATATCCAAGCATGTATCTAAGTCTCCCAGCATATATCTAAGTCTCCCAGCATATATCTAAGTCTCCCAGCATACATCTAAATATCCCAGCATGTATCTAAGTCTCCCATCATATATCTAAGTCTTCCAGTATCCCAGCATATATCTAAGTCTCCCAGCATATATCTAAATCTCCCATCATATATTTAAGTCTTCCAGTATCCCAGCATGTATCTAAGTATCCCAGCATATATCTAAATATCCCAGCATGTATCTAAGTATCCCAGCATATATCTAAGTCTCCCAGCATATATCTAAATCTCCCATCATATATTTAAGTCTTCCAGTATCCCAGCATGTATCTAAGTATCCCAGCATATATCTAAATATCCCAGCATGTATCTAAGTATCCCAGCATATATCTAAATATCCCAGCATGTATCTAAGTCTCCCATCATATATCTAAGTCTTCCAGTATCCCAGCATATATCTAAGTCTCCCAGCATACATCTAAATATCCCAGCATGTATCTAAGTCTCCCATCATATATCTAAGTCTTCCAGTATCCTAGCATATATCTAAGTCTCCCAGCATGTATCTAAGTCTCCCATCATATATCTAAGTCTCCCATCACATATCTAAATCTCCCAGCATGTATCTAAATATCACATCATATATCTAAATCTCCCATCATATATCTAAGTCTTCCAGTCTCCCATCAATAACCTATGTCTCCCATCATACATCTAAGTACCCCATCATATTTCTTAGGCAGACATCTATGAATATGCGTTGGTAAATTCAGTTATTAATAAGATAACAGTGTTAATCAACAGTGTTAATCAACGCTGTATAAAACACGCCTCTTATATAACAATAACATGACAATAATACATCTACAGGGCCATTATTCAATAAGATCATTAATTGATCATATTTGATTACGTTGTCAATACAATCAATGATGACGGTTGGCTTTGAATTAATAATTAACATTTCACAATCACAAGTCAGTAAACAACCACAGTATCAGGTTTTTTATTTTAATTATTTATACACTTATTCAGGTCATTTACACCACATCCCTTTATCAAAACATAGATTGGACAATGATTCAGAACTCATCCAAGATCTCATCCAAGATCTCATCCATCTGAGAATTGGTTGGCTACCAATTTAGATTAAAATCCCCCAACAGACAGCAATATGCCTAATTTACCTATCAAAATCTGAGTTTCATTCCATTGACAATTCAAATATAGGCTTTAATTATTCACTGACAAGTTGATAGAAATAGACTACATATTGATATAAGATCTAATGATTCACATGTTTTGATTATTAATTATTCAGCCCTAACAACCTTCAATCATTTACATAGAAACAATCTTTACTTTCTGTTTGTTATCAGGGATGTGTTTTTTAATATTGATATTAATCATACCAGTTTACGTAATTAGTTTTACCTTTACTTCATAAAATTGTTTATCAAACAAGTTCAATAATACTGTTTACTGAACCTTTAGGTTATGGTAATTACATTGAAATTTAATGGCCACATATGACCTTTAATATTTTAGAGATTTAACCTCTCACGATCATCTAGATCGAAACATATGTCTCTATTCAAGCCTCTAATAGCTATTTGGACAGATGCCGGTTGGTGTAAAGAGAGAAAATATAGGCCCTGTTAAATGAGGATTTTTCTCATCTTCACAGGTGCAGGGTTTTTAAACCTATTTAGGTACCTCAGATCTGCAACACCCAGGTATATTTTAAAAAATGAATATTTTTGTAGTTAAGTCATATCATTATATTTTCAATACACCTTTTATTTCCATTTGGGCATCTTCAGAGGTGTGGAAAATCCCCATTTAACAGGGCTTTTTTCTGACTCTACTCCAGCTGACAACTGTCAAAATATCCATCTGAGGCTGGAATAGAGGCAGATGTTTCAGACTAATAACCATCTTGAATCAAATGCTCTAAAATTCAAGTCTTTTTCCTAATTAAATCAATGAGGTAAAAATCTACTATCAGTATAATAGATCTAGTAGCCCAGAAATTGAACAAACTTTAAAATAATTGGCTTCAACAATTAGCAACAACAATTTGACATCACTAATTGAATCAAAGGATTAATACAAAAAACTATGGTAGTAAAACTTAGAAGATAACTATAACTTATTGTAACATTCACTAAACATTTCTTAAAGTGATATCTCATCAATATATACATGCATACCAAGATTCATTAAGATCGGATGAAAACTGTAGTCTCTATCATGCCTACAAGGCAAATTTGACGCGATTTTACTAAGTCAAGGGCAATAACTCTGAAACCGTTCATCCGATTATTACCAGTTTCGAACATTTCCATGTGGGCGTATAAAAATGATTAGAGGATTATATCACTTTATTTCAAGAATAGAGAATATTATAGACTAGTACTGTACTCACCATATCGAATATTAGATACACGCCGTGCCTGTGATGTTGGTCGGCTGAGATCACCTAGAGGTCGTTCTGTAGGTGTTATTAATATATCATTTAGATTTACTGAACTAGGTATCTTCTCTAAAACATGGAGTACTTGTTCAGAATCAGCCTTATTTTTTACATGCTTTTTAAAAGCATGTCGTGTAAAAATATCTGTTGGGAAGGTAGGCAGATTTTTGGGATCAAACCTACAAAAACCATCATCAATAGTTTTGTCTTTGGTTTAACAGCTACATATAATTTGCTGTGCTAATTAAATTTGAAAGTTTAAGAAGTGTCTGACAGAGAAAAATTCGAAGACAATACATGTATACTAATTTGTTCTATTATGATCACGGATTATAATGTTATTACTATGTTAAAGTTCAAAGCTAATCTAATTGCAGAAAAACCAGAAGTTCATTTTCCTTGAACTGAAAAGTGATACGGGTTGTTTAGCAGTTGTAAAGTTGTTTTTAGAGATGTTGTTTAATGCAGTGTGTTTTTGAGAGACTTACCAAGGTTTAGCATCATGATTATATGATATAGGTTTCTCTCTTTTATCATCCTATATAGATAGAACAGAAAGGAAAAGAAAAAATAAAAAGAATGAAGAAAAGAAAGAGAGAGAGAGAGAAGAAACCCTTCTTTCACTTATTCCAGGTTAACAGATACAAAAGGAAAGAGAAAGAAGATAGAGAAAGAAATTAAATTTCACATACTATGAGAATGAGCTATAAATGGATGATTAAAGAATCAATGTCTATTTAAAAACATACTTGCCTCAAATTCCATTGTTTTAATTTCCTCAAGTTGTTTGTACATCATATAGTTAGCTATACTTACAGCCCTAAAATATAATAATGTCACTCATAAAAATAACAATACCACACAATGGCACTGATAAAATAACAACACTCATGAAGTAACAATAACATCTGAAGTAACAATAACTCAGAAAATAACAATTACACCAATAAAGTAACAATAACACATGAAGTAAAAATAACTCAGAAAATAACAATTACAACAATAAAGTAACAATAACATCTGAAGTAACAATAACTCAGAAAATAACAATTACACCAATAAAGTAACAATAACATCTGAAGTAACAATAACTCAGAAAATAACAATTACACCAATAAAGTAACAATAACACATGAAGTAAAAATAACTCAGAAAATAACAATTACAACAATAAAGTAACAATAACATCTGAAGTAAAAATAACTCAGAAAATAACAATTACACCAATAAAGTAACAATAACATCTGAAGTAACAATAACTCAGAAAATAACAATTACACCAATAAAGTAACAATAACACATGAAGTAAAAATAACTCAGAAAATAACAATTACAACAATAAAGTAACAATAACATCTGAAGTAACAATAACTCAGAAAATAACAATTACACCAATAAAGTAACAATAACATCTGAAGTAACAATAACTCAGAAAATAACAATTACACCAATAAAGTAACAATAACACATGAAGTAAAAATAACTCAGAAAATAACAATTACAACAATAAAGTAACAATAACGCCTGAAGTAACAATAACTCAGAAAATAACAATTACACCAATAAAGTAACAATAACATCTGAAGTAACAATAACTCAGAAAATAACAATTACACCAATAAAGTAACAATAACACCTGAAGTAACAATTACTCAGAAAATAACAATTACACCAATAAAGTAATGATAACACCTTAAGTAACAATAACACCTCTGAATCTACATGGGTGTAGAAGGGACTAAATTGAAGCTTCATTCCACTGTTTAATTACCTTTGCAAACTTAACAAATTTTACAATTACATAAATGGCATTTTCAAACAACTAAATGGTGAATTGACAATTCGTTTCTTCAAAAGATTCTGTATATCTGAGATGTTCACTTCGAGAACTTCTGAACATTCTAAACAATATCTTTAACATCTAATAGAAAATAAATCTCTACTCACACTAAATTAGTTTGAAAGCCAATGATGATATCACCACGCATATTAGCAAAACACATACCATAGACTGGGTATTGAAAATCTAATTCTCTTATCAGTTCATTATCACTGTCCCATATCTAAATAGAAAATATATCATAACTCTTTTATTATACCACATTCCATTAGGACTGTTCCTTTGGCTGCATTTACAATCCACGTTTGACTAAACCTCAGTGACTGTAAAAGGGCATTAGAATAGATTATCAAAATAAAACATGTTAAACACTTACTTTAACTAAGCCATCTCTACTAGCAGTACAAAATAAACCCATGACAGCATTCATATCTAAAGCTGTTATCTAGATTGGAAACAGAAGCAACTTTAAAATATAAGCTTATGACCAAATGTAAAATAATCTTTGGAGACAAATAACAATTAGTGATGAAGCAATATGTATATAAACTAGTGTCCAAAAGAAACGAACAACCTGTTTGCAACGACATAAAAGAAAAACTAAACAATGCAGAAGTTTAGGATTGGTGTTATGCTTTTGAGAAATCCTTTCACAACATCTGTACAAAAATTTCATTTCAATAAAATCTGTACAACCAATATGACAAGCCTTTAAAGATGGGTGGGGTCGAAAAAAGAACATTTCGTTAGAGCACTGATCACAGAAACAACGGGAAATGTCACACCACACGTCACAAAGTCAAGTCAGTAGCGGGTATGTCCACCGTGAGCATCAATACATGCCAGAACACGCCTACGGACTGATGCCGTCAAAAGTATGATGACGTTGGGAGTGATGCGTTGCCATTCCTCGAGGAGATATCGTTCCAAGTCCGGACCTTGACTGGAGGCACACGGCGACGTCGGATTTGCCGATCGAGGTGGTCCCATAAGTGCTCGATGGGATTCATGTCCGGTGAACATGCGGGCCATGGCAAAACCTGTACGTTGGCGTTGGCAAGGAAGTTCTGTGTCAATCTTGCTGTGTGTGGCCTTGCATTGTCATGTTGGAAAAGGAGTCCACGAGGCTGTTGCTGAATAAAGGGCACCATAACAGACGGTGGGTGTCATCAATATAACGCTGTGC